CAGAAAAAAAAATACCCAAACCCAAATCCAACAGACTTACTTGGGCATCCAAGCGAAAGTTAGTAGGTGGCCACCGGGAAAAAGATTCCAGTTAATTAAAACAAAAAAAAAACACCAAAAAATAGGAAAGCAAGTGCAGGGCTACTGCAAGGTGCATCATCAGAGGTACCAGGTCTTGCAAGCAGCCCACCCCCCTCTCCCCAAGACCCCAGGCACCCCACAGCCCCAGCACGACAAGTATCTTCAAGCGTCTCCAGAGATCACATCACCATTATTTCTGATCAGAGAGACCTCAGCGATCATTCGCTTGGAGTCCGTTTTAGACGAACTGGGTTTGCACCCACTGCTCGAGAGGGCTCAGGCGTCTTCAGGAAGCTGGTCTGAGGGCGCGCGGGCAGCGAACGCGCCTCCTTCGCTGTCAGGCAAGGTGGCGAGCTGGGGCTCTGGGTCCAGTGTGGCAAGGCTGATTTCAGACACAAAAGATACCCTAAGGAGGAAATTTTTTTTTCTTTTTTTTTTTTTTTTCTTTTTTGCAAACTGCTGCACAAACCACAGAACGGAGAAAGCCTTTGGTCATGAGATACTTGTGAGAAAGTGAGCCTTGTATGGAAGATTCCCCTGAATGCCTACGGTATTCTACATCTTAAAAAAATATATTGTGGACGCTGCAGCCATACAAAGGGGGGAGGAGTGGGAAATGGGGATTTACAGTCTCACATAGACACAACGGGGAGGTTAAGACAAGCACAGTCAGAGTCTGTAAAACTGATTGGCTCGCTCGGATCAGTCATCCTCATCGTCCTCTTCGTCTTCTGGATCTTCCTCTCCTTCATCCTCTAGATTTCGTTTTCTCTTTTCCCCTCGCGGAAGGTCTGCAAAAAGAGGCGAAGCGTGAAGCTCTGCTCAGTCTTGCGGAAACAGCGCTTTGAACCAGGGCTTCCAGCCACGTCAGCCACAGCTCACTGGCGAACAAGCATGGACTAGACCAGCACCATTACAGGGCAGAGATCCACCCTGCCCCGCTTCTCCAGGCACCTGGGAAAGCCTGGGCTAGCACGAGACATGTTCTGTGCCCTCCAAGCAGCCCGCGTTTCCACAGCTACAGGAAAAGGGGTTTTGTCGAGCACCCCCACAGCCGTGGCACCTGCAGAATTCAGTCGCTTAGACCAAAGCTCACAAGATCACTGGAAGCCACGATATCCTGTCATCATTCATTCAGGCGTTTATAGTTTGTCATGACCAGAGGAGTCTGCACTTCAGTCAAGAAGCTCAGGTCTACCCTCCCCTGCACAGCCAAGAGGAACACGTCTCCAAGAGCATTTCCTCAGGTGCCACCACTACCACAAGCTCCTGTGACAGAAGCCCTGCTCCTGCACGGGCTGTTGGTTCAAACTACTTCAAAGTGGCTTTCCAGGCAATTTGGCTGGATATCTAACAGATGCACCCAGCCTGGTCGTTATCAGGAGGCATCAAGACCCGTTTCCCCATCACCACCGCGTGACCCTTTGGTTGTAACCACTGTTTTGCTCGGGCAAAAGTAACCGTTTCAGGGGTGCCCACAACCAGCGACGCTGAAGCTTGGGAAGCTCTACGAACCAGCAAATGTGTGAGACCGTCGAGGCAGCTTTGCGAGCGCTTAAGAGTTTGTTAGGTTTTGACTCACCATCATCAGCTTCATCTTCTTCATCCTCCTCACCATCTTCCTCCTCATCTTCCTCCTGGAGTCAAAACAAAACACTCTGTTGCAAGGACCGCAAGGTGTCATTCCGCAGCGACACCTTTCCTCACCTCTGCTCCCGCCCTACTCTAACCTCAGGGTGGCAGCTCCGAGCCAAGTAGAGAGAAGCTGCAGGTTCCTGAACAGCTTCTCACGTCCCAGCGCAGGGGGCTGGGGGCTGCACAGCTTTATTGTGGGGAGCCACGGGATGTACCAGGCCAGTAACAAACAAGCCTGAACTGGCAAACTCTGCAGACCGTGAGTGTGAAAGGTGTACGGGAAAAGCCAGATCCCCCCACCAAGAGGCCCCTGTAACGGCTGTTGAGGGGGGTCACAAGATCAAGGGACACACGCGTCACCAAACACAGTGACGAGGGTGGCAGATTTTACAGTGATGACAGAAAGCCTCACCTCATCATCTACTCCGTCCTCCTCCTCTTCACCTTCCACATCATCATCTTCATCTTCTTCGTCATCGATGACCTCTTCATCCAAATCATCTTCCTCATCATCATCGTCCTCTTCCTCACCTTCTACCAAAAGGAGAGGGAAGTAAGCATTACGGTTTCCAAATGCCCCTGGGCCAACGCGCTCACGCCTCCAAGCCCAGAGCAAGGGGCAGGCAACCCCACAGAAGCCGCGCGCGCAAGGAGGGGCGACAACTGGCCCCACGAGCTCGCAGCGGGTCTCATTTCTCACACAGTCTGCCAGAAGAGGGGCTGGGATTAGCCAGACAGGCCCTACAAGTTCTAATCGCCACTTATTTAGCAGCATGTCCATACAGAAGGAGAAAAGAAGTTGCAAGAAAACCAAGAGGAGAAAATCCTCACCTTCCCCATTCTCATATTCATCTTCCAGTCCATCCCCATCCGCTTCAGGGTCTGAGTCAGGGGCTTCCTGGTCATCAGCATCAAATCCATCTAGGTAGGTGAGCTGGGGCAGGAGGGTGAACACGCTCTCCCGGTAGTTGATGAGCATTGTCACCTCACAGTTGAAGAGGTCGAGACTATGGAGGTTTGGCAACTTTTTCTGCAAAGATCAATTGGTTAGATTATTTACAAGCTGGCACGGTTGGAAGATCAGGCAGCCGTCAGAGGACGGCTGCTCCACTACCCAGCCCAAGCACAGAAGTGTCTTTTCATGCACTACTTGCACCGTGTGCTCCTCAGATGGAGAGAAGTTATTGCTCTCGCTAACTGTAGGCAAAGATTTCTTTTCAGCTCCTCTGTCCTAATTTCCCCTCCCTGGAACCAACTCCTTATGGAACCACTCTTACTCCCTTCTGGGAGCAAGCACAGAAAGCCCAGCTCCCTCAGCTGGAGCAATCCCTGCGCTGGACTCATCCTGCCCAAAACATCAGGCAAAACAATCCCTGAGAGCACAGCACAGGGCACGAGCAGACTGCACCCGTCTGCCACAGCCGTGGCAGCATTCCCGCTCAGCCATCGCACCGTGCGCCAGGCCAAGCGGAGGAGAAGTAAAATAGTTTCAAGAACTTTCTTGAGGGGGCGAAGGGACCAAAGGCAACGGCTAACGAGGCAAATGGCCTAGACGAGACCTTTCAGCTACAGCCCGTATCACAAGGCAGGAGCCTTCTTTGGGGCAGTTCAGATGCAACGGGAACCCCCTGAAACAGCACCCGGGGCGAGGGTCCCAGCCCAGCACCACAGCACCTCTAGACGGATGCGACGGACACCCTCGCTGGTGTCCTAGCAACTTGTCTCCATGACACCCCAGGTGCCACCTACCTCCAACTGCATCCGACCCTTTAACGGTCCTTTCTCAGATGGACACTGAGCACTGCATCCACAGTTTTACTCATCCAGCCCAATTTCATGCTTCTTTTAGCAACTGGCTGCTGGTTTTCCAGACAGAGGAGCCATTAACTATTAGCCCAGCCTCAAATTGGACCCACTCATCTGTTCCCATCAGAACCACGAAGTGCTGTTGGAACAGTTACCAAGACGTTGGACTTGTGCTGCACAGACAGGCTCCCCAAAGGAAACAACGTCATCCCTCAGATGGCAGCACAGCCTTCCACTCACCAAGGGCTCCAGGGTATTGATGTCTTTGATCTTGTTGCCGCTTAGATTCAAGTGTGTCAGGTTAGGAGTTCTCTCTGCTAGAACTTCAAGGCCACCAGAAACCCTGTTATCACTCAGCTCCAGCTGCCGGGAGGGAATATCACATAGTCACAAAGTGTCTCGGCTGGTGACACGAGGAATAAAGTTGCCCAGAGAACCGGACCGCAACAAGCACCCAAGCTGCAGACCCGGCTTGGTAGATCACGCCACAGAGAGGTTCAAGTTTTCACTTGAAACCGCTTTCTCATGGCAATGCAGCACTCCCAGCCACCTCCGTCCTGCAGGACACAGGGCTACATGCTCTAAAATCGAAAATATTTATGATGTTACTGAGGCTTCTGTCAGCAGAACATCAAAAGGCAAAGAGACTACGGTACCCATACAACACCGTCCAAGAGGACGGTACCCATACAATAAGCTCAAAAGCATTTTGTTGCATACTAAAAAAACCAACCGCTCTCACTTGCTCCGACTGCAGGCTACAGACGAAAAAGCAAAGTCAAATGGCATTTTTCTGGCAAAAACAAGAAAACTGACAGGGCAGCAGAAATCTCAGAGCACGGGCTGCTGGAGATGGAACCACAGGTCTGACTCACCTTTCGGAGTTTGTTGAGTTTAGGGAGATTGGAGACAGACAGCAGGTTGATGTTGATCATGCTGAGGAACTCCAGGTTCTCAAAATCTGAAGAGAGGCCGACGATCTTCCCATCGTCCGAACGGCAGTTATCAAGAACCAGCTCCTTCACCTGCCAACAGAGACCCAGCAGCTGCTGTCACACTCGGCTGCGTCTCACCTCCACTTGGTCAAGAGGACGTCAGGCGGCGCGACCGACGTTTCAGGTACGCCTGAAGGTCCTCCTTCCTCACACTAAGGGACACGCAAGATCTTAAAGCCAAATAGCTTTCGCGAGGGCACAAGGTGAGAAACCCTCACGGGGGTTAGAAATCCACCCTTTCTGCACCGCCCCACACCCTGTGGCTCCAGCCAAGGGCCACCTTCTGTACTACGAAGCATTAAGGGGTTGAATCATGCACAAGGCATCAAAAAAGCTTCCAGACTCACACTTCAGGCTTCATCAACAAGAGGCTGAACAAGGACATCTGGTTTTGTCCCCTTCAACTTTCATCCCCACGCCACTGGCGTTTGGAAAAACCTGCCTCCAGAGGACGCCTCTCCCCGTGACAATTCTCCACACAGAGGTGACACATGTGTCCAAGCAGGTCTCTGAGCAGACGGCCTCCACCTCAGGCTCACAGAACCACTGATGGCACCTAATATTTTGCCCAGCACAGACCACACACACACACACGGGAGCCATCGCTATCCGATAATTCGGCTTAAAAACCAACCTCCCTGTGGCGGCAGGACCACGGAGAGCCAGCACAGAATTAATTCCCTCGCTAAATATCTGGTGAACAGATCTGGCAGCCCCCTCTCCCCTAAAACACAGAGCTCTACGGCCACTTCCAAATCCTTCCTTTGCCAAGAAGGGCCTCTG